GACCCAGTGCACAATCTGGGGGTCCTTCTAGACTCTCAACTCCTGCTCGAGGAGCAGGTGGCAGTCATGGCTGGGAGGGCCTTTGCACAGTTTCGTATTATGCACCAGCTGTACCCCTTTCTGGACCATGAGGCTCTACTTGCTGTTGCTCATGCCTTGGTCACCTCCAGAATGGATTACTGTAATGCACTCTACATGGGGCTGCCCTTGAAGAGCATCCAGAAGCTTCAGCTGGTGCAGAATGTGGCTATGTGGACAGTTATGTGTGCCTCTAGGATGACACGTTACACCTCTGCTCTGCAAGCTGCACTGGCTGCCAGTTTGCTTCCAGGTGCAATTCAAGCTTCTGGTTTTGACTTTTAAAGCCCTACATAGCATGGGACCAGGTTATCTGAAGTACCGTCTCTTCCCAATTACATCTACCTGTCCCATCAGGTACAGCAGAAGCGGTATGCTCCGGGTCCCATCTGCTATGGAGCTCTTTCTGGTGGAATCCAGGAGATACGCCTTTTCTGCTGTAGCCCACGCCCTCTGGAACATCATTCCCCCTGAGGCTTTGGAAAGCCTTGAAAACATGGTTCTTCCATCAACCCTGGTAAAGTGGTTGTATGACGCTAAATGATGGTTGTCCTCCTCCTATCTTGGGGTTCTTTTTTGTTTTTATGTTTTTATGTTTTATTTTTGTTGTAATTTACAGTATGTTTTTTTTAGATTGTGATATGGTTTTAATTGTTTTTTGCTTGTAAGCTGCCCAGAGTCACTTTTTGTGAGATGGGCGGCTATAGAAATTTGCAAAATAAAATAAAATAAAATAAAAAAGTGCCTAGTAATTCTACCTTCAGTTATACTTGCAACATTTGCCACTGTTTATTAACTTGCTCTCTGGAAAGTTGGAGTTCAGGTTGCATGGATAGATCTTGCCTATTTTTTTTTTTAATATTCTTAATAGCATTTCAACTGGATTAAGTAATGCCATTGCAAAGCCGCTAGGCTGAATACATTCAGCCTCCATCTAATGACTTTCAAAGATAGACTGTTTTAAAATCGATTCGCAATAGTACTAGATTAAAATATGTAGCCCTTGAAGAAGTGACTTATGTCTATTATCAATCTGGAAATTAAAAAGGAATAGAAAATAAAACTCAGTGATCCAGGAACTTGTAAAGAACTGATGGGAGCAAAAAGCGTTTAAAATGTTGTTTAGTGTGTGTGTGTACTTGTATATGCTGTACAGTCTTCAAAAAAGAAAGAATGCTGGGGCCAATTGGTGCTGCTACTGCCATTATTGTAACACTGTGGTGGCATTTGAGGTAAGGCAAGCAGTCGTTTCAATCCTTCCCTCTTCGTTACTATACTAGGTCTCTTCTTCATCCTTAGGATGGTAAATTAAGGCCCACAGTCCTTATCTCGGCTGTGAAGTTCCAATGTATAAATAGATGCACAGGGCAGGAAGCTTCTTACGCTAAAATTATAGAAAGAAGGTCTTGGTGCCGCACTCATTTTCACTCTTAAGTTGGTTGAAGGAATCAGGGCTTCAGAATTTGCAGAATTATTTCCTTAAATAACTGGGGAAATCAGAAAAACAATGGGCCATAACCGAGTTTTGTGGGAGGCTTATGCTGTGGAAGATACCGCCATCTAGTGCGCTTCCTCAGTAACGTCATGACTCCAGTGCTCTCCGAAGGGAAACACTGAAACAGCACTGGGGAAAAATCCATGATACATCAGCTTGGCTCTTCATCTCACACCAATTTCTTTTCAAATTTGGTCTACATTTTGACCAAGTTATGAACAGAATAAATTAATTTCTTCCTAACCACCCCTCCCACACATCTTAAAATCAGTTTAAGATGATTCACTAGTATACCTGGTACAGAGTAGGTTTTCATGTTCTGTTAATACAGGCTAAATGGTGTGGTCACCCTCCTTTCTCTCCTTCTTCCTCCTCACATAGCAAATGAGGAAGAGACAGATTTATTTTTCACAATGGTTCTCAGTGGTACATGTAGCACAAATGGGATCCAGAAGTCTAGGCTGCTACACTATCTTGGAAATTTCTACTAAATGACAAAAATAACAACAGAATGTCCATAGATGTACAAATATTACTCTGAAAAAAAGAATCTCCTATCTATATGAACCTAGGTTTTTTGATAGAGTAGTAAGAAAGGTTAAGAACCACTGATTTTGCCAAAACTCTGCATTACTTGTAGAGGGCTTTTGAAAGTATACTGAGGTTCCATATGACCTTAGAACTTCAGGTTGTCTCCACCTTTGAGTTAGGGACTCCAATGCTTAAAGTTAATGTTGACCAATCAAGTTCTATAATCTTAATCTACTGTTTTATCCCAAAACATGGACATACAGAAAGAAGAGTAACTACATATATTTTGAAGTTTCTGTAGGACAAAATGGAATCTTAGAGCTGAGAGACAGGAGAAATTCCAAACCAAAGAAAGATGCATCTATAATAGACATGTTGATCTGTATGCTATGTGCCAGATGCTATTATATTCCAGTTTATAATATGTATACATTGCTTAATTTTAATATGAACTTTAGTCACACATGTTTGATTTTTCTTTTCACAGCTAAGGAGAAAACCTGCAACTGATTTTCATGTATACCTCCAATAATCCATGTATCTTATTCTTACGTATTCATATTCAAATAAAAAAGTTTATTGAAAGTACATTTCACACAGAGAACACTACATTTTAGTTACCAATTTTAATATGTCATCCAATTGATTTTAAGTAATACCATCAATTCTGGCAAGATGTGCTAATACTTGTATTGAAAAGGTATATAAGTCACAGTATAATCCAGTTTTTTTCTAAAATTGGACAATATTAATAGTTACTTGATTTAACTAATTTTGTATCTTTATTGCACTTCATTGGAAATATTTTAAAAAATGTTGTTTCTATCAGATCAGTATAAATTTCCTGATCCTAAAATTATTTTGTTCTGCTAAACACCACAAAGAAAAATGTACAGTTTTCCTGTTTAAAAAAAAATGAACAAAAATCCTCTGATACTTAATTTGTTTTAAATACATGTATTCCAGGAACAAAATAATGTTTTTTTTTAATCCTGGAAAAAAAAATCTGAGTAAAAATTGTTGTGCTCTAGGCTATATTATTTCAAGCATGCCACATGCGAATACCCAGTTTTTCTAAACATACTGAAGTCACATGATATATATTCAAGTGATATCAACTAAAACACACCTTCTGGAAAGTTGCAGAAATTTCTTTCAAAAAACAAGCCCTTAAACATGACTGCATTATTAACTGTCTTCCTGTAGTCTCTTTAGCTGTGAACTATAATTACTTGCAATTAACTAAAGTTCACATTTCAAAAATAATTATTACCATTATTTTGTTAAGGAACCAAGGTCAATTATTGCAGCCTAAGCCTCTTCATGAAGAAATCAACCCCTTCTTAACAAAATGGGGTCCTACTGCTGAGTAGGTATGATATAATCAGATGTTGTAAAACTGATATCTGCACTAGCAGAAATCTATGTGACCAAAGTACATCTAGGTGGCACAGTCTTTGGGCTGCAAAATTTCCCCTCCTTTCACCATCACACAAGGCAAGTGATCTGTCATATTTTTCATGTATGCCACTCATACCAGAGTGTGGCATAGGTTGGAAAGTGCAATCTTTCTGGATGTAGCCTAAACAAGCAGTACAAAATATATAGCAGTACTGGGAGCAATAGAGGTCTTTAGAAACAGCAGCCAAACTTATAAACAGTTTTGTCCTGGAGTCAGTTTCTCTCAATTCAGGAAATCCTTTCCACGTTTGTTAGCTTACTGAAGAACCACCAGCAGAACAGAATATTTAGAGAACATAATTAATACTTATATAGGACTTTAGCCAAGTATACAATGGTCTCATCTTTGTCTGACATGAAGAATATACCTAGTTAGCTTACTCTCCTGTGACTCTGCTTTGCATGGAAAATTAAATGATGCTATGCTTGCCTGCTCTTTACATTATCTTGAGGAATTCATGATAAACTACCAAGCAAACTCCCAGGCTGCCTGAGAACCACTGGCTGCAAATCCAACTGCTTAGGGGTCTTTGTAAAGTAAGTGTTCAAATCAAACATTTATTTTTTTCCATTCCATTCCAAGTTGAGAATCATCTGCCACTAAATAAACTTCTCCTGTATGGCACATTTCACGGTATTACAATCACAATAAACTATATTCTGTCTAATACATCTGAGTATTAGCTATGCTATAAGTGGTCTACTAACTGTGTATACTGTACTATTTTGGATATATACAAAGGCCAAAGTTTATCCTGAATAGCAACTTCACTGAGTACAGAGCTAGATCTATTCATACCAGTACAAAGGTCTCCACTGTGATATTACACTTGGGAGAAGGTACATTAAATAGTAAATACCAATAATGTATGTATTATCAGGCATGCTGAAATTCCAGTGGAAACATTCATAGAAATAATGTTCAGAATTTGTGCCAAATGAATAATTAACATGCTTCAGTGGGGTCAGCATTGGGACTTTGGTTCAACTTAGTATTAAACTTGCAAGATGATTTTAAAAAAGAAGTCACTATTTTGTGGTCTGTTTTCTCATGTCTTTATAATGAGAAACAATAGCACCCTACTTCATAGGATCATTGTATTATAGGTGTATGGATAGCAAAGCATACTGAGTAACTAGCAGAAGACCAGTAAGAAATTGATTAAAAGTGCCATAAATACATGCTTTGCGAATGTTTTTAAAAAGCTGCTGTATAGCACCTCCTTTGGGAGAAAAAATAAATAAATAAAACAGAGCACTCTGAAAATAGTATTTAGCAGTCTGGTGTTTCCACACAGTTACATTTAACAGACTGTCTCAGGAATTTGAGAATTATCAGATATGAGAACATGAGCTCATAATATATGCTAATCGTTTCTGGGAAAACATAATTGATAAGACCATAGAAATGTATTGATGAAATGCATAAACTCAACATCTTGGGGTTTTGCAGAATTTGGCCAATGTCACCAGTTAGGCATTAGTGCACAATGTCTGATAGCCAGTAAAAATCCATGCAAGATCCTGCCCATTGCTGCTGGATGTCAAGCTAATTAAGATGCTGACCAAGAAAGCATTTCCTTTAACTAGAAGAATTAGGGTGGTTTTTTTGGCTTGATGCATGCAGGGAATACTCATAAAGCAATCTTCAATATGCATCATACATGGGGAGGTAGTATTGTCCTGACAGGACTATGCCTTGCTCAACATTTGGATAGGCTTCAAGACCTGCTTTACAAGATTACTTACAGCAAATATTCTCATTGCTTATTTTATGGCTTAGTGCCATGGTTCCCAAGCTGTGGGCCACAGCATCCCAGGGCATTGCAGCGAACTCACAGGGGCACTGTGGGGTATTTTACTACCAAACAAATGCGACTTAATAAATTGATTTTTTATTACTTAGTAAATGGCACCACAGGATTATTTACTAATTAATAATTGACCCCAGGTGCCATGGTGCACAGTTCGAGAACTGCTAGGGCACCATGAAAAAATTACTAAGACACTAAAGGTGCTGTGAACCGAGAAAGTTTGGGAACCTCTGGCTTAGTGACTTTATTTTATTTTAGCAAACTTAGGACATTCTAAGCAGAACTTTATCCAAGCAGAATTTATCTAATTTCATAGAGCTTTTATGCTAGAAGTACAACAGTCAAATGATAAATAAGCAGTGGAAATGGCTTTAAATTTCTACAGCACTGAAATCTCTCACTCTTGCCCATCATAATTACTCCCCCTATCCAAACATTAGATAAGTGAAATAAGAAAATCTAAGATTCATATATCAAAGAGATACCACAAAGTCACTCTTTTGGACTCTGAGGAAGTAATCTGATAGATAAGTGTCATTTGAATTGTATTTACAAATGTAATAGCAAAGATGAATTTGTTATTTACTTTCTTGTAGTGGAAAAAAATAAGGTAGGCAGTAACTTTAAGATAACACTGTATGATTTCCTTGAAGTTGTTTCACTTTCCAAAGGAATTGAAATTTTGACTGATAGGTAGTTATTAGTGTAAACCATTTTGAATATTTGGAGCTGAATTGGACAATTGTCGGAATTTTCAGACCATAATTATGAAAATTTCCTAATGATACTTAAATAATCTCAGTGTCCAAAATTATACAAAAATTGAAATAACATGTTAGGATTGCATTGTTTTAACTAAGTAGACTCAATTAAAATAAGTTCATCTAACTATCATTGAAGGACAAATCACCTATTTGTCTTCTACAAATCATAACCCTTTGTTAAAATATACCCGATCCAATTCAGGACTCATCTCTTTGATCTTAGCTTGTAATTCTGGCTCCAGACGTGTTACAGACATGGAACTAGGAAGAAAAAACAATAAAGACATAACATATCATCCATGATCAAGAAGTCTTAATCCATTTGATTGGTTATTGTATATGCCCTAGGAGATTTTATCATAAATTCTATAACCCTTTAAAATATGGCATAGTAGTTTCTTGTTTTCCAAATAGTTTCTCTTCAATATTATGAATTAAAAATGAGTTACAGAAAAGCTATTCCATATACTATTTTGCTAAGCTAATTTTATATAATTTTATATGGTATGGTATCTTAATGTACCAGGCTGGACAAACCATTATGCTTTCACTTGTAAATTAAAGCTGGGCTAGCAGATCATGTATTATATCAAGTCTTTCAAATGTATTATTAGATATTTGTCGCCACTTCTACCAATAAAAATTATTAGAACTGATATGAGAGATGTTTCTGTTCTGAGGTTGAACAGGATCAATCTTAAGTTTCTTTGATTTGGTTTAGCAGTTGATCAAGGTGACTTTTCTGACACCCGCAAACTCCTCTCAGGATTATGCAGACGTATAGAATTTGGAGTGGTTAAGAAGCTTGCCTCACCTGATAGCTGACAAAGAAAAGGAAAGGGAAAAAAAGGTTTTCCTTTATCTTATGAATCTCCATTTTGGAGATAAACAAAGAGGTATTCCAGAAGCATGAAGTCCCTTTCTCTGGGATACAAAAGCAGCACAGTGAAGAATTATTTTATTTATGGGAGGATATCCTCAAAGTGTAGAAAGGGGGGCCTCCGGATTGCATGCAGTCAGGCAGAAAAATATGCTGCAGCTGGTGACACCAATTTTATCTCCTGTTTTGCCATTATGAACAGCTTGTGCTCCTCCAATTCCCGCCCTAATTCCTTTCTCCTAATTCTTTCTCCTGCCTTCCCTCCTGCTGTGGCTTTCACCAATTTTCTTTCTTATTGAAAATGTCTCCACTGATTTCCTTCCTCAAACTGATTTACCCATTCATTATTTTCCCTCTGTCTGCTCCAATCTGATCTATCTTTGATGCTATTCCTCCTACTGGGGATTTTACCATGTTTTTCTCCATTGGCTGCATTTTCCAATTTCTCCAGTTACTTTTTCATAATGCTCTGACATGCCTTTCTTCCTAATGTGGAAGCATTTTTCCATTTTTCCTTTCCATCTGATTCTTCCTGAGCCTTTTCTGTCAGCATGCTACCTCCACCTTCCCCCCAATTCATCCTAATGGCTTTCTTCCTCCTCTCCTGGATTTTTAAATCCTTTTTCTCCATTTTACATCCTACCCCTGCTGCCAATTCTAGTTTGTTTTGAAACATGACAAGTTCTGTTCCAAAAGTAAAGAAAAACTGCAGCATGTTCTCCATCAGTAGATGGAACTATGGCACTCACTGTCACAGCACCCTCTACTGATCAAAAATTTAAAAGCTGCCGTTTTTAAATACTGCTATTTCAAAAACCAACCTGCCAACCATAGTACTATTATTATTATTATTATTATTATTATTATTATTATTATTATTAATAATGATAATTTATTGGCCACCCAACTCCAGTGGACTCTGGGCGGCATACAAAACTAGAAAAAACATAAAAACAACTAAAACATTAAATCAAACAGACAGCCCAGACTAAAATAATCTAATATACAACAAAACGGGGGCTTTAGACAAATAACCAATATCAACCCCAGGTCTGGGACCAAAGCCAGGTTCTCAGAGCTTTCTGGAACCCCAGGAGAGAGGGCACCATCCTTATCTCTGGGAGGATGCTGTTCCAGAGGGTGGGGGCCATGACAGAGTAAGTATGCTTCCTAGGTCCCATGAGATGGCAATGTTTAGTGGAGGGGACCTGGAGCACATCCACTCTGCTGGAAAGTACTGGGCGGGCAGAAATAGTTGGAGACAAGTGGTCTCTCAGATATCCAGACCCTATACCATAGATGTTATATTAGCCACTGACCAGTAGGAGGCACTACATGCCAGCTTTTGTCCTTATTGGGACTCTTCGGGACTTTTCATGAAAAGAGAGAAGTCTAGTCAACTTCTTCCTTATTGGTAAAGTCCTTCATAGTCATGTTATCAGTCTATGTGAGAATTCCAAATTTGCTAGGTGATATCTTTCCTCAGTCCAAACATACTTATGAATTCCAGCTAAGTGTGCATGTGGATCCCATGAATCTCCCATTAGAATTTTTCCCATAAGATTAAATGGAAGTCTCTATGGGTGATATTGCTGGTCTTCATAGCTAAAATAAATGAATAAATGCATTTTATGTGATATATAAAAATCAGGATCTGAAAATAACCTCTGGAAAAGCTATGGGCAGAGGAAACAGGCCCATCATGTTCCAGGTGCTAAAGATGCACCAAACCAGATCCCCAAACAATGGAAAAGAATGACTCTCCACTGATTATTTCTTTCTCTGTGGAAGGAGCCAAAGATGCACCACAAAGATCATCCCCACAAAGTCTGAGGTGAGAAACTGTTACAAGGCAAAAACACAGACTAGCCTTCTAATGATAATTAAAAACATCGAAATCAAATAGCGATCAGTAAGGTGGCAAAGCCAATGTTATGTGAGATTAAGAGATGCTGCATAATTTGCAACTTAGTGTAAGACAAGACTGAAACAGTCTTCTTATTCTTCTTGTTCCTGCCTTCAGTGTACAAAAAAGGTAACTTATGAAATGTCCCTTTGTCATGCCCAGAGAAATGGGAAAAGCTATGAGGCCCAGAGCAAAAAGGGGATGCAGATTTGCTACTGGACTAACAAAATGGAGGAAGAAATGTAGAATTTATTATAAAGTTATGACAGGAGGAGAAGTGGGAAAATGTGTGCTTAGGTTCCCAAAACAGCCCTCTATAGCCTGAATTTGGCAGGTGCCAGCTAGCGGGTAACTGTGACTACTTGTATTCCCAAGATGTGAGAAACATGACTATTGAATGAATTGAGAGGTTTTTGAAAAGCAATATATCTGTTCTCTCATGTTCACAGTGTGCATGGCATAATATTATCTCTCACTGTAGAAAAGTAGTAAAGAAGCAACTGTACCTTTTCTGTGGAAATAATGCACAGCACAGAGGTGTTGCGAACACCAAACTGGAAAAGACAAAAGTTAGTATTTTTATTTGGAACAACCCACTCAAAGTGTGGATAACTTTAATCGACTTAGCTTGTTGGAATAGCAGGATGCCATGTTAGCACTTGAATAGCAATTCAAATGCCATAAGAACTGGCTAGTTATCTGTAGCAGCTCATTCCCACTGAGTGCTCATCTCTGAATTCGTACACATGGCATATTTACCTATGCAAAACCTGTACAGAATGACTTATGGAGGGGGCCTCCCTGTGCATAGCACATGGCTAAGTGCACTTCCTGAGGCTGCAGAGTGACAGCACCAAGTGGGGTAGCAGGTCAGGCTGTGTGAAGTTCTTCTTCCCATGATCTTTGTGATTCACACATGTGGGTTAATAGGTAAATTATTACCTGGAAGAAGGTCTGGATTCATAAAGCGATCAAAGAAAAAACTGTTCTTCCAAAGGTTGAATTCCTCTGAAGGTGGAGGTCCAAGAACATTGAACGAAAGTGGAAGAAAAAGTATGGCATAATTCTAGTTGGGGAATTCTATGTACAAAGGCCACAGATATATCCATAACCTGTTAGCATGACTGTAGATCTGGAGAGGGAACAGTTGCTTAACTGTCCAGAATGAAGTTTGATGATTGTTAAAGTGGATGGCACAATGAAGAATAGATGTGTGAAATCATGCATTATAAAGTAGGAGAAGGGGCAGCAATGGGTAGTACTAAACTATGAAAATAGGCATCTCGCCAGACAATATAAGGAAATATATTATAAATATAAATAAATATAAGCGAACGAGAACCAGTTTGGTCTAGTGGTTAAGGCACCAAGCTAGAAACCAGGAGACTATGAGTTCTAGTCCTGCCTTAGGCATGAAAGCCCGGGTGACTTTGGGCCAGTCATTCTCCCTCAGCCCAACTCACCTCACAGGGTGTTGTGGGGAAAATGGGAGGAGGAAGGAATATTAGGTATGTTTGTCACTTTGAGTTATTTATAAAAATAATAAAGGTGAGATAAAAAATCTAAAAAAAAAATTGCACTCCTCATTGTTGAAGGAAGAGGGTGGTGATGTGATGGAGGACTTGGATGAGGAGGTTCGAGATCATGGGGAGAAGCATCTCCTCAGCCCACAGCCTGAGCGTGTGAAAGGT